GAAACCGTTTCCCTTTACGACGACTTACTTAACGAAAAAGGAACGAAACAACTTTAACTTTAACTAATAATAAACTAAACTAAAAAAAAAAAAATCCTGTAAATAAATCATTGTTTTATGGAATTATTTTCCTTATTTTTATTTATCTTCAACATGTGTGTATATATATATGTGTGTGTATATGTATGTGTGTGTACACTGTAATTTGTACCTATTTATGGTCATATTCTCTGTTTGTAAATTGCTAAATAATTGTTTTTTAACATGATTTCTTTTACTGTCATAGATGAGGTAATTTTTTAGTTTGAAGTTTAATTCCAAGTAGTTATTGAACAATCTGTAAAATAAATATTTAGAAACAAAAGTATGATGCAAGTAAAATAGTAAAAACTAACTTCAGAAAGAGGAAAATGTAAATATCAAGAAAAATATTCATTACTTTTAAGTCAGTGGTATCAGTTTTGTTTTATTTTGAGCAAGCTAATATGCAATTGATCTTTGTTAATGTATAAATTATTCTTAGAAGATAATGCAAGAGACCACTTCTGCTTTTAAACATCAAGGAATATTGGATTATTAGTTGATCTTTGCTTCTTTGAGTGTAACACAAGTTCAATTTTATGTGACTTCTGTAATGAACAGTGCCTTTAGGGCTAGTTGTTGGAGCTTCGAATGTACTGCCGATTACACCAACTTTATTTATTTGAGGAGTGCAGTGGTGAGTGGAGCTGACAAGTCACTAACTCAGGGAGATTTACGGTTAGACTAAAGAAACTGATCCTGAAACTGATATTCAACACAATACATCAAGTTTATTTAACATGAAATACACTTCTTTAATCATTTATTAACTTTTCATAAAGAACACATTTGGGTTAACAGTACTAATAATTATAATTCATATATAACATAAAGTTTCGTAGTTTATATACTTCTTTAGAATCCATCCAAATTCACATTAATTGATTAAGAGAGAAATAGTTTCATTACTTACAACATAATTGATCTGGTAAATCCTTGCAGCTGGGAAACTTTCATAGCTTCTGGGTTATCAGTAACTTTGGAGAGAATCTCAATTCTTCCTGGAGTGAACTGATTATTAGCTCCAGACACGAATTTTTAAACCATATTTTCTCTGTATTCTTTCAACTTTTCAAATAGTATTCCTAACTACCCACAGCTAGTTCTAACACTTTATTGGTCAATCTGTGTAACTCCCCGGGCTAATCCAAAACAAGAGCCAAAACTGAAGTAATTGGTTACTGTGATAGTGAGTGCTCTGGTTGCCTTTTTACTTGTACTATTACACTGGTCTGGAGTAACAGATCTTGCATAAAAGCACCGATTTTGAGATACTATCATAATCTTTTTAGTAGCATTTACTGTACTACTAACTCGGTGTCAGTAATTTATCATTGTCAATCTTATGGCTAGTGTTTTTTCAACATGTCTGTAGTAGCCTCATTTTTTATAGCTTTTAGCTTGTGATTATCAGTACCACTTAACCAACTAGCTGTACTTTCCTAGCTCATGACCTTATTTTGTAATACAAGCGTCTTTTACTTACACCTTTTCTTTATGTATATGTTCACTTAGAAAACTCATCAAATCGTTATAACTTCTTTCTTAAACTCTTTTTAAATGCTAAAGATACTGAAACAATTGTAAAATTCCCTTAAAAATATCCAATTGCTTCACTCATCTCACCTTAGAAAAATTTTGTTACTTGTAACAAAATTTGCCACTCAACCCAGTTGTCTACACCTCTCTCTTATCAACCAATGTTTACAACACTACTTCTTACTACATCTTACTACAATCAATGTATCCGACAAGATAACGTTGATTAATAGAGAGTACATTTAACAATGCATAATAGTGATTAATATACTAACATCAAGTTATAAGTATTATATTCATATTACAATCATGATATATATACATACTTAACATTGGAAATGATTAATATTTGAACATAGAACAGATAGAGAATTCTATCTTTCAACTCTGCTTAAAATTCCTCTTGAAAGTGTCAAAAGATCGACCACTCACTGTTCACTATCCACTGATATAAGGAACATGTTTTCCACTTTGCACAATGCTCGTGTGGATACTGATGGTATGCACAATACAGTCTATTTGAAAGATCTAAATATCTATATAGAGGGCATCCGTGGTCTTCCAGGTTTACACAGGGAGGCCAGTCCATAGGCTTAATATTCTAGCTTTCTCTTTGTCTTTTGTATAAATCTTTACATAGCTCTCATTTAACTGTTGACATAGCATGATTAATTCTTGGAATGTGTGTCCTTCATCTGACCATCGTAGTCCATGTAAATAGGTATTGCACCAGTTTACATGCTGGCGATCCTCCTCACTCAAGGCCTCTTCTGGGTATGAGGGATGAAAACAGTATATATCGGTCCACCCAATGTATGAATCAGACACCACCAATCCTTTGATGACAGTTTTAATACTATTCTTTTGGCCCACACCTTATCAGTCACATAGCTATAATGTCTCCTATAAGCAAAGTATGCTATTGGAGCTTCCTGTCTGACTTTCAGCATCAAATATCCGCTTCATTATATCATGGAATTCATTAGTCACATAATTTTATTACATACATCTATCTGTACTTGGTTGCTGAAACAAAGTTTACAACAAAGAAATTTAGATATATACACCTTTCATTTCTGTTTAACAATTACCAAGTTACAAAACACAGGAAATAGTAATGGGTGGAACAATGGCCACACTCGCTTTAAGGTTGTACCATGTCAAAAACCACCAAGTGTTCTAATGTTATCCCACCCATTCCTACCTTATTTCCTTTCTTTATGGTGCTCCCATTCCTACTTCCTAATTTTTCACTTAAATTTTTTTACAGTTGTGTTATTTTTGATCATGATTGAATGAAGAGTAATGCACACGAAAATATTGTGCATGAAGAACAACTTGTGTGAAAAGTTATAAAACATTTATTCAGAAATAATTGTTTCATTCATTTTATCTTATAGATTTTATGCAACACACTTGTATGTTATAACTATGTTGTTTAATTGGAAAAGTTTTGGTCCATCTGGGAATCTTAAGAGCTATAGTCGTATTCATACATACCTTTGTCTGCTTCAGGAAGTGCTTCGACTGCAGCCACTGCCAAAAGAAGTATTGGTATTTCTGTCCCTTCCAACGGTATCTCCTTCTGCAAGTCTAGAGTAAGTACTAACACAGTGGCAAGGTTTATTTGCTCATGTTTTTGTATTTAATGTTGAACTTTTCATGTTATTTTGATGAAGGTTACATATAAATCATATTTAAAACATGAAATGCATAATTCAATGTAAGCGAGATTTGGAAATATTGTAGGTAGCTATTCTAACTTTTATGTCTAATAAAGATAGAAAGATAAATATAGCACTAAAAAAATATTTGATTTAGAATATTACTTAGTCTCATCATAGGCTTTAAATAGATGAAATTAATAACTGTAATAAAATTCCATTATTTTATAATAGACCTGCTAGTTGTTTTTGTAATGTATTTAATTTCAGCTATTATGTTGTTTCTTCTTTATCCACTGTAACATCCTTTTTCCAGGATATTTTCTTCTTATGTGTGTTGTTTTCTTATCTGTTTTTCAATTCCCAATATGAAGATTGTATAATTGTTTAGGACAGTGGAGAAGCTGTCAATGCCTTGGCATGCAAGTACTCATTTACAAAGGCTTTATAGAGAAGGGGATTGGGTTACTTGAAACTTAAGTATATCTAATAACAAAATTTAAATGTATATATTTAAGATATTTGAATAATCACTCTTTTCAGGATGATTAAATGATTTTATTACATCTGTAACAGTACATATAGTTGTTGGTTACTTTTAGCAAAGAGTTATTCATTTGTGGTTTCATTAACTTCATCCCAATTTAATTAACTAAATTCTGTGCTGAATTATACACACACTGTCATGATAATCTGATATGAATACCAAACCAAATTATAATTAATTTGTTTTATTTTAACAGCTGTTTAAATAAATCATAGACCTTTGTATGTTTTTATAGCCTTTTTGCTGTATGTAATATCAGTATATAAAAGTGTTGTGGGCACATTAAATTTTTTATAGTGTAAAACCAGTGTTTGTTTTGATAAAAAGGTTTTAAAATATGATAGAAGAGTAAGCCTGAAAATTAACTGCTTTCTATTTTATAGTTCTTTGGAACAGTTAAGTATAGAAAAGAAGACAACACACCAACCTATTATGACTTTTCTACCAAATCCTTTTTCTGAACCAGCATACTCTGGTAAATATTCTAACATTTAACTTTCTAATCGTTTTTTAGTTATTTGGTTATATTTCATGACATGTTTTAGTTAACATTGTTGAACTGTTGGTTTTGTCTGGTTAGATATGTTTTCTTTTTCAAACAAAACTTGCCAAAATATAATCAAGGTTAGTGCCAAACACTCTTGACAGTGAACTTAGTCATAACCTTTCCACTGTGCCAGGGAAGTACTTTCCCAGTGCTACCACTCCCTCACACTGCGGCTGGAACAAATGTTTGCCATTATCATTCAAAATTGCTGCACGTGACATATGGGAGTAAAATATGTTGGAAAGTATTTATTGGCATTCCACCTTGTATAGATAGATGGTTTCCCTAACTAACAAGATGCCTAGGTGGAATGCATGACAACTGCATGATGACCATGCCCGCATTGCTAGAACAGCAAGTAGTAACCCTAATTACTATGCAATTGTGCTTGACTCAGATCGCTTAAAAGATAGTGAAAGTGAGTTAAGTGGTGTTCAAATGTGTAATGATGAAAAGACAATGAGACAAGAGGATGTTAGCTCTCCGTCTAGTGATGATAGTCATAATGATGAACCTGATTCCAGCAGAGGAAGGCGTAAACAGCATTGACAATGGGAAACTTTTGTCCCAGTCACATTTCCTACACTAAAAATGGGTTTCTGAAAGATACTAACCTTTTCTCTTATTTCCCACCTGTCCTCCCCACTTTCATTGTAGGTTTTGTATATTCTGTGCTATCTTGAAGTGATTACAGGCTACATGGAAGAGAGGGTGATAGTGACAATAGTTTTTGGCACTCCTAATGGTGGAGAGCTACTGCATGATAATTTGCATTATAGCAAGCTGATGTTTCACATGAATACACATGAGGTTATGTGGGAGTATCAAGGTAAATGGCAAGTGAAAATTTGTGCATATGGAGGGCAGAATAAGTTGAGAAGAGCTATTTGTGAGAGGAAGTACGTATCAATCAGATATACATTTTCAATGTTGAAAAATGTTAATTTAAATATAATTTAATGTATGTAATCTGTACTTTATTGTCCTGACACTTGCTGAGTTTCCTGGTGGAGAACAAGTTGGAACATTAGTAAAATACCTACAGAGTTTAACCATTTATGGACTGGAGGCTTATAACTGATATCACTTTTATTCTCACTGTGACTGTACTTATTATATACTAGCTGAGTTACCCGGCATTGCACGGTGAAAACTTAGATTTGAAATGTATAGATCAATATTTTTTTCAGCAAATTATTCAGTAAGTAGACAAAAGCTGTGATACGAGAAATAAAAAATCAAACAAAGTTTTATTTGAAATTAGATCGTGTTTGAGCCTGAAGTCGTACATCATGTTGCTCCTCTGTTTCTTGCTCTCTGTAAGTTATTTGTCTTAATTTTTATGCTTGAAGCCTGGTTTGACATTGTTCAGAAATTTCTTGTTGTCTATATCCAGCTTGCCTTGATGATTCTGATTGAACTCTGGCTTTGTGCTGTTCTACAGTTTCTTGCTGTCTTTGTGTAGCCTGCCTTTTAGCTTGAGCTCGAAGTCTAACTTTATGTTGTTCCAAAGTCTCTTCCTGAATTTGAGCAGTCTGTCTTGCAGCTTGTGCTTGAAGTCTTTGATTGCGTTCTTCTTCTGTTTCAGCTGCTCTTTGTATAAAATATGAAAATTTGATTTAGTATTGTATCATTTTTAAGGTTATCGATTGTTGAATTTTTTTATGAAAAAAACTGGTTTAAAAATCAATAAAAGCTACTTTTATCTTAGGCATTATATTATATTATTATTATTGATCAGTAAGTTCCATTTTATATATCCAGTCACTTTTAACTTGTTTGGTTTTCATCAGTGTGTTTTGCTTATTGAAATAGTTGACTTATTGTTGTGAATAATACAAACACGGTATTTCGGATACAGATTTAGACCCCACATTTCATTATGGCAAACCATTAGCCATGGCCGGCTTGATAGTGTTATATTTCTAAGACAATACTTCACCTCTTCACACAGAATAGCTATATCTCTTGTGCATCTGCTTGTGAGGTTTGCATGCCCCTAGTCTTGACTTAACTCCCATATAAGTTTCATGTGTTTAACATGAGCTGTGCTGATGACTGATATCATCATGTGACAATAGCCCTTCAACAACAGGAGTGTGGCACAGTTTCCATGCTCAGTATCTCCTCTTAACCCTATGACTACTGGGTACTAACATTGTTATGACCTAATGTCGCTATCAGTATATATTTTGCTCCAAAAATAAAACTAGTGGAAGAAATTGTTTGAAATTTGACAAGAACTTTTCTAAAAGTATGTATTTTCAGAAAAATAATATATTTAATTTTGAATTTTTCTACTGTTTCTACTAAAAATTTGTTAATTGATGTAGTTACTTGAACTCTGACTTTTATTAGTTCACCTGCAAGGTGATTTTCAGGTTAAATGTAAAAACAATATTTTTTATCTTACAGTTTTCACATTTTGTATTTATTTTCTCTACCTTATCACTAACTCTAGATATTATCATCAATGTACAGTGCAATGAAATGTTTAAAATTAAGAAATGGAAATATGTACATACCTTTTATCTCCTGGTTGAATAATCTTTAAAATATCTTCTTTGGGTCATACGCTTAATTTCATGTTTTTACCTTTTCACTTATAGTTTATTTTTAATGTTTTATTCTTTATTTTTGCTTATTTATGTTGACACATAATATAGTGTGGGCAATAAAACTTTGTGATATAAAACTTTGTGACAAAATTTTTTGCACTCGTTTATTTTTCTAACTCTTGAGGAGCATAGTGAAGGATAAAATATATTTAAAAAATCATTAAACATTTCAAATATGAATTTTAAAACACAAATAATATATAATTAACTAAAATATAAAGTGAAACTTAAATGCAAGTTAACTTTTAATCAGACTAATATGTATAAGGCGAGAAAAAAATAACTATTCGCTAGAGAATGACATCAAACCAGCAATATATTTGGCACTTAGAATTGTTGCTACTGCTCATTCCACCTTAATATGAAGTTAGCTTTGAGAATTATTGTTCCATGAAACCTGTTGTTTCTATTGGTTATAAGTATGCTGTTCAAATCTAAACTGTTGCTAAGCAACAACCTTTTCTAATTTGAAAAGTGGGTGTGGCTTCAGTCAGAGGGAGAGAATGGTATAAGCTTTTACTTGAAATGGTTGTAGTTATAATGTGAAACCTGTGTTTGGAATTTGACCTTGTGTGCTTAGAAGCACATCTAGACAGTCATAGGGCTAAACTAAATAGAAATAGATTAAACCAAAGCTAAGATATTTTAACTGCACTCACATCACATGACAACAGAACTGAAGTTTTAATTATCATTTTAGAGGTTTCTTTTGAAATAAGGGAATAAAAACTTCTATAATATAAAACCTTGGATCATAATGTACTTGATAATGCTAATTTCATTGAAATACATTGATATAAAAGTAGTTTAATTGAATTTTTAATGTAACTCTGTAACACTTTGTGACATGTGCAGAAAGGAATTTAAAAGAGTGCACCAGTTTTCATAGGATAAAGCACTTGCAATAACATCATTCTTTTCCTCAGTGTTGCCTTAAACAGAAATGCTGATTTTTCAGTCTACATTCAGTAATTGAGATTTGCATTTGTCAAAGGAACGTATGTTTCATTCTACCTTAGCTTTTGTTTTAAAAGCATTGAATATTGTCATGTATTCTCAAGTGGTAGTGACTTCGAATTTGTCCTGTGAAAGTGAAGAAGTTTCAAACACGACCTGTTTCTACTATGGTTTCTAGAGGCTCATTGATGACTGTCGAGGACATTACAGTTATGATACAGAATATTGTGGATTCTTTCATGCATACAGGACTTCCTCCTTCCACCCCTTTGTCTAAAATCCCTTCTTTTCCATTTAAGAATGAACAGGAGGATGATGAATTTGACCCAATGTTCCTCACCACCTCAGTTCGTTTTGGGTACTTCTTTACTGGTTGAGGAAAATCTTCAACCCTCCAGTCCCTTTCTGGATATGATATCTAAGGTATGTTCTTTTCTTTCTCTTTTGTCTGTGTCTTTTGAATCTTCCCATTTTTTTACTATGAAACCAATTCTCAGGATTACTTTGTCTTTCCTACTTTTCCTGATATTAGAGTTCTTGCTGATTTCTTTCTCAAACAACTCCACACTTGTACCCATATGCCTTGTTCTCCTCCCATTCTCAACTTGTTTTGTCCTGTTGTACAGCCATTCTTCCTATTCTTTTCTAGATTTCCAGTCTTTCTATTTCACTCTCTAGTGCCCAGTTTTTACATCTTTTTCTTTTTCTCACCATCCTCCTGCTTTACCTCTCCTCCCTTCACCTTATGTCTGAGGCACTTCATCTTGCTGCAGAGGTTCATTCCCTTCACTTGACTACCTTGGCCAATAACACTTCTTTTGTTCTAATCCTCCTTACTTGGTTTCTTTGCTGTTGGGACTTTTTGGGTTGGGATGCAGTCCTCATTAATGTCCACCTCCTTCCTTATCTGTGTGATTTTTGTCAGGCTTTTTTCTTCGGTGGGATTTGTGATTCACTGGAGACCCAGACTGAAGCTGCCCAACATCAGTTCTCATTATCTTCCTTAGTTCTCTTCTTTCTTAATCTTTCCTTTTGACTCCTGTTCCTTGACTGGATTATTCTACCCCCACCCTTCCCATTCCAGCTTCCAGGCCTTCCTCTTCTTCCTGTCTTCCTGCTCCCAACATTAGGTTCACAGCTCATCCCATTTGTACTATCCTGTTGGGTGGAGACCAGTGGGTGCCCATTTGTCTCACTTAACCAACATTTGGTCTCAATTTTCTGCCAACAGATTGGTTCTTCAGATTATTACCTATGGTCTCTCTCTCTCCATTTTTTTCTTCTTACCCTCTCTCCTCTTCCAAATTATTTTTCTCCTCTCTGTGATCCCATTTCTTTTCCACATCTTGAAGATGCTGTCTTGAATCTTTTGGCCAAAAATGCAGTCAAGGGGTATATTTCCCTTCTCTGGGTTTTTACTCCCAACTCTTTGTAGTCCCCGAGAGGATCAGGGAGGGTGTACAGTTATAGACCTATCTTCCAACAGAATTCTGGTCATTCCACAATTCTAGATGGAAAATTTCTCTTCTCTGGTGGTCTTTCTCACCCAGTCTGTGGATGACCAAGGTCAACATTTTGGCTGTCTTTTTACATATTCTGATTGAAGCTGTCTTTCAGATGGTTTCTATGTTTCATCTACTGGAATTCTGTGCTCTTCCCTTCGGCATAGCCATGGCCCCATATGTTTTCAGTCGACTCATGAGGGCCTTCAGTCACCACTGTCACAGTCTGGAGTTTAGATTCCATTTCTTCAATATGCCCCTTCTTGGGAAGTGCCCTTCTCTCACACCTTCCTTCATCTGCAGGAGGCTGCTTAGTTGGGATGGCTTGTCAAACTTTCTTAATCCTTTCTCATGCCTACCCAGTATTTAGTACATCTTGGTATTTTTTTTCAACTCTCATTTGAGTTGGGCTTAGATCCCACCTCTTTGCCTGCAAGTTATGGAATGTATTGTCACCATGGTTTGTGCTTATTTTCATCCTGCATGAGAAGTTATTTAGTTTTTTGGGTTCTGGCTTCCTTGGGAAACAAACACTTGTATTATATTCCACTGTTTTCTGTACAGAGGATTGTCTATTTCGCTACCATTTCAAACTTTATTCCTATGGGAAACACCAACAAGCTTAGCTGAATTTGTAACGGCTCTTCTTACATAGTTAGAAAGCCAAAAAAATTATAATAGTTATAGGACATTGTCTGCATTTTATGTGTTATTATTCTGTGTTCTTAATACCTTATTTAATTAAATAAGAATTATTTATTGTACTAGTACCATTAGTATAAAAAAGTAGGCTAAGTTTCATCGATAGTCGAGGACAAAAAATAAGGTGACCCAAGTAAGTACTATATTTCGTGTGTATTCTTCGGTAAAATTTTAAAGGGACAAAAAGGAGTTTATTAGCCCATCAGGGATGTCTCTTCCAGCTCCCAACTGTAATCACCACTTACTACTCATGTATACATCTAATCTTTTCTTGAACTCGGTTAAATTTTCTGTCTCCACCACCCTTGAAGGCAGCTCATTCCAAAAGTCAACCACCCTGTTTGAAAAGTAATACTGTTTAAACTGTAGACGACTCCTACTCTGCCAAAATTTGAACTTACAATCCCATGTCCTATTGTTTTCGTTGCTAAACACAAGAAGTGTGATGGATCTCTATGATTTATAATAATAATTTTAAACACTTCAATCAAATCCCCTCTGATCCTTCACCTCTCCAGAGAAAACAAGTTTAGAGATTTTAAGTCTCTCCTCATAGGACAATCCCACTATCCCAGGTATCATTCTATTGGCTCTTCTCTGAACCTTCTTGAGGAAGGGAGCCAAAAACTGTTCACTGTACTCTAAATGAGGCCTTACATGTGATCTATACAGTGAAACAATAATATTCCTTGTCTTGTATTCAATATTTCAATAGATGCTACCCAAAATCCTATTAGCACTATTGCTAGCTACAGTACACTGTTTAGATGACTTAAGTGATTTTTCAATCACCACACCAAGATCTTTTTCTTCAACCACAGCATTTAATGTATTCCCATTAAAAGATTCTAAACCATGTTTCATTACTGATACTTTTATGGTTTATTAATCGTACACAAATACTGCCCATCGTCTGTTTACATGACTTGTTTTTAACGTGGATAACTCCTTTTCAAGAATATAATTTTATTATTTTTTTTACCCATATTACAAACACAATGTACATGTTCGATGACGAGGAACCCACTTTGAGACTAATAATGGTTGGAGACGGCTTGAATGGGTAATGAAGAAAAACTTTAATATAAGTTTGTCTTCATTACCCATTCAAGCCGTCTCCAACCATTACAATGTACATGTGTCAGATTTAGTCTGTTATCAAGTAATTACAAGAAGAAAACCTTACTAAACAGCAGGGATTAACCCTTTGTGAATGGCAATTATCATCTGATTATTAAGAAAGCTACTTATGAATGACTATGCTAGTGTCTTCCTACTGATGTTCCAAGCATTCCACTTTTGTATAGTCATATCTGTAATTGGTGAGTTCACAAGCAAAAGTGGCCAAATAGCAATGTGTCCTCATCCAGTCCCTGGACAGCTCACATTTTTTGTCCAACATTCAGTGAACAGCTGCTTTTTTCTTTTTTTTTTGCATAGTATACATTCTCTAAAAAATATAATTTTGAAGCCTAAAGTAGTTCTTAATAACTTTATAAAAAAACATATTTTAACACTGAACCATAAATATTGTTGTTAAAACACTGTACTTTTCTTGCAGGTTCACTTCCAGATATTGTTGTAGATGGAGTCATTATGGGGATGTATTCAGCAGAGGAACAAGTTACAAGTTCTGTTAGATAATTGTAAAATATTTGAGTTATCAAAAGTGGTTGATTATACTTGTAATTCAAATTGTTGAGTTTATAAGCAGGAAACCATCAATATGTAAATGCTAAAATAGAATATTTTTTATAAACTTAATTTTACAGAACAGAATATTTAGCCTAAATTTATTTATATTATGTGTTTGTTTGTCTGAAACTCCTCCCAGGTTTCGGAGCTGGCAGAACAAATCTTGGCAGGCAGACTCAAATGACTTGGAGGGGAGGGGGGGGGACGATTCTTATC